CCGTCTCCCTGCTGCTCCGCTCCTCGGTCCTAGAGCTCGCGGCTCCTCGCCCGCCGCGCCCGGGTGGGCGGCACCTGATGGGGGAGGGGAGGGTGGGCGGTCGGGGAGCCCCCCTTCCTCCTGCAAGCTCATGCCTGGAATGCACCTTTTTTTCTTTAATAACAGTGCCCTTTGCTTTTAGAGGATTCGAGTTTGGCACTTCTGCATTTCTGAAGCTGGACAAATCCAGCATCTCTACCCTTTCCTATCTGAGTAAAAAGCCCTCCTTGTACGCCTCCAGGCCCTGATTACCCCTTGTGCCCTTTTCTTCCTGAATGCCCACCAAGAGGATCCAGAGAAAGCAGGAGCTCCTTTGGCTGGGGTTTAGTGGATGAGATGGGGGGCAGGGGTAAAGACAAGAAATATTAAATGACACCTGTTAAAGACCTCCAGGAAGATTTTATTCAGGGGGCTCCTGGTGGTGAGTGTGGGGACCACTGCTATGAACTTTGGCGTGGCTGAGAGATAGTGGTCTCAATCCCAAGTCGGCATGGAGACTGGGAATTTATAGCTACGCAGCAAGGTGGGAGATCAAAGGGTAGAAAATTACCAAGAAGAAACATGAAAGGTAAGGAGTTAGACCTGAATTGACCTAGCAGGATTCTTGCTGAAGACAGGCAGAGTGGGTAATTGAGCATCAACCTGGGGAAGAGTGGAGGAAAAAACTGATTAGATATTGGAGGCACTTAGAGATGGAGGATTGGGGGATTCTAAAATCGGACAACACACAGATTAATTTACAAGTCCAAAAGTCAAGGCTTTGCAGCATTGATTCCTGGAGAACCCACGTTCCGAGGAGAGTTCTTTCAGATTTCCCGTTTTGCCCTAATTCATTTTATGCAGACAAGTGTATATGTATATTTAATTTTATTACAGATCAGCTGCTGCGAGCCCAGCAGACTTCATCTTTACAAATGTTATCTCTTCCACAAACATTTGGGTTTGTTTGTTTTGGTACCAGGGATCAAACTTGGGACCTTGCATTTACAAGGTATTTTATTTTGTTTTTATGAGACAGTGTCTCACTATGTAGCCCAGGCAGGTCTTGAACTTGGGGTGATCCTCCTGCCTCAGCCTCCTGGGAATAGATGAGTGTGCCACCATGCCTTTTTTTTTTTTTTTTTTTTTTTTTTTATGAGACTGTAAGACTTAAGTCTCACTTTTATTCCTGGAGCGTGAACAGCCAAGAGGCTTCCACGATGCTGAGCTCAGAAGCTCAGCGAGGCTCCAGGAGCTTGTCGGACACCGACAGTCACCCAGGAAGGAACAAACCAGGCAGGTTGGCAAATAGACCTTTATTAGTCTGGCCAGACGGCACTCCCCAAGCCAAGTAGCTCAGAGAGGCGGCTAGCTCAGAAACAGAGGCCATTTTATATAGGGCTAAGGGGGGGATACACTTAAAACTTACAGGAAGAGGACAAAGGCAAAGAATCAGTTGATCTGAGCTAGTGGTCATCAAGCATATACTTGACCGTCACGTACTAATGATCAGCAGAGCGATTATCCATTATTCCATTTACAACTTAGATTATAATGTTCAGAACATTCAACTATAGGCAAGTAAGGAGTGGCATGATTTGTGTTGGGTCTCTGTGTTCACTACAGTTTCCATTTAGTTTCCCAGCTACTTCAAAGCAGTTACCTAACAATTCACAATTAATCATTAGTTATCCTATAAGGGATGCGGGGGGAGCGACAGTCTCTGGGTCATTTGCTGGTCAACATGGAGTCGCTCTGGTTCAGTCAAGCTCTTACATTCCCCACTGATTTTTGGACCTAAATCAAATCTTTGATTTACTTATATGTGACTCTGGGCCTTAATAAAGGAACACATTGTAAAAGACAACAAGTTATTGCAATACAAAATCCTAATACCGTTACACAGTATCAGTTGTTTTACCCAGGTAATGTCAGGTAACCAACTTGTTAACCATTTAAATAAATCCCATCCTATCTGTTCATTATGAATCTTTGTAGCTAAATCTTTGAGCTTTTCTATGTCTTGTTCTATAGCTGGCCCATTATTTGTTAAATTGAAGCAGCACATATTTTTAACCCTCTCACAACCTTGGTGATGAAATAATAGCAATTAATCAATTGCCGCCCTATTATCTAAAATTGCTTGTCTCTGTTCCTGGAGTTCTTGATTAATTAGCGCCAGCGCGGCAGAGGTTAACCCCTTAACTACCTTGCAAGCTACTTTTCTAACTGCCTTTTCAGCATGAACTCCGATTGAGGATACCCCTATCACAGAAATAATCATAGGAATAACTTCAGCATCTGTTAAAAGTCCCACATCATCACCACAACCTGGTGAAGTATAGGGAGACCAGCGTTTTGTTCTGTTGGGTGGTGAGAGGTCTCCCCTGTCAGGTAAGACGACTGCTAATTTACTAAGACAACAGCGGGCCTCGGTCAAGTTTGCTGGGATGTAATTATAAGTTATTCCCTCACAAGTATAAAATCATCCCAGCAGCAAAGTAATGTGGCATTTGCTGTAAGGAATCTTTGTTCTCTAGGACACTTCATTACATCTGCCTGTTTAAGATTTAAACACTGGGAAGTACAACCTTTATATTTGGCACAGAGAGTCTTAAAGGACATAGCTACCCGAGGGGTATACAGTTTAATAGCATTCTTTGGTTTGTAACATGTCACCTGTCCCCAGTTGTAACTATCCAAATAACTGAGATTTACTTGTGGGAAATTTTAAACATAGTATATGGTCTAATACCTTCAAGTGGGGTGCATACTGGAACCAAACAACTTCCAAGCACATAATGAAAATTCACATCAGCATTTAAACAGATTTCAGTCAAATGTAAGGATTCAGCTAATTGCACCTAGACATTTTTAGTGTGACCTAAGCTTTCTTTGGACAACGTTATTATTGTCCCAGGGGAAATCACCCAGATCATAACACAGGTCCAGTTGAGCGGAGTTTTACTTTCAATTCTCCGAGTTTGCTGACGACGCTCCATTTTCCGTGCCCCTCTGGGCTGTTGTCCGGTCCGGGCTTGAGGTGGTTGCGGTGGATCCACGTTGGGTGTCCCGCAACCTTCACGGCCAGAGGCGTAGACAGGACAACCGGAAAAGGCCCCTTCCACCAGGGTTCCAAGGTCTTGGAGTCAAACCTGGGAATATAAACCAGTTCTCCCGGCTTATAGGGCAGTGGCTGTAGAGGTTTCTCATGAGGGAGGGTCAGAGATCCTCTAACCTGGTCTTGTAGTTAAGACTGCATTTCATGTAAAGCTCTCAGAGACTTAAGCAACCTCAGATGAGAGAATTTCTCCTTTAATTCCATATCTATATGGGGAACCAAGGGGGGAGCGCGCCCATAGATAATTTGGAAGGGTGACAGATTCAGAGGAGGCTTGGGAGTACATGAAATACTCAACAGAGCAAAAGGGAGAAGCTCCACCCAACTTAATTCAGTCTCTAGGCTTGATTTAGTTAAAATCTCCCTTAGTGTTCGGTTAGCCCTCTCTACCTGTCCTGAACTTTGAGGTCTGTAAGCACAATGTAAATTCCATCTAATTCCAACGCTTAGGCTAATCAGTTTGGACACTTTAGCCCTGAAGGCTGGGCCATTGTCGGACCCCAGGGGCTAAGGGCAAGCCAAATCGGGGAACTATCTCAGTCAGGAGCTTTTTACTGTTACCTCAGCTGTTTCCTTTTTAGTAGGGTATGCTTCCACCCACCCTGAGAACGTGTCTATGAAAACTAACAGATATTTGTAACCATACATGCCTAGTTTCATTTCGGTGAAGTCCAGTTCCCAGTGCTCTCCGGGAGTCAGTCCCCTATATCGGACCCCTGGGGGCCCAGTTACCCGATTCGCGTTTACCTTGAGGCAGGCGGGGCACCGTCTCACTTTGTCCCGGGCCTTCTGGGCTAATTCTCTGCTGACAAAGTGGGGCCGTAGCAGGGCCGTCATCGTCTTTTCTCCCAGGTGGGTGGATTCGTGGAGCTCATTTAGCAAAGTGTCGGCCACCGCGGCTGGCAGAACGACCTTCCCTTCATCTGCTGTCCACCATCCATGCTTTCCTTTGGTCCAGTGGTTCTTACTCATCTCCGTTATTTCTTCCGCTGTGTATTCAGGCCTCTCTGGGAGCACGGGTGTAGGTAGCAGCACCATTTGTTTCCCCACTGATTTTTGGGCAGCTTACTTTGCTGCCTGGTCAGCTGCATTGTTTCCAATCGCTTCAGGGCTGGAATTCCTTTGATGTCCACGGCAGTGAATAATGGCAACCTCCCTCGGCAGCCAAATGGCTTGCAGCAGAGCCAATATCTCAACTTTGTTTCTAATTTCTTTCCCGTCTGATGTTAAAAGTCCTCTATTCTGATAAATTTATCCATGTACATGGGCAGTAGCAAAAGCATAACAGCTATCAGTGAAAATATTTATCTTTTTCCCTTTTCCTAATTCCAGAGCCTTAGTGAAAGCAATCAGTTCAGGTTTCTGTGCTGACGTCCCTTGGGGCAGCCCTTGTTCCCATACTACCTACTGCTCCTGATTGACTATTGCTGCTCCCGCATATCGTACACCTTCACGTACGAAAATCTGACACCCTGGATTCAGCTAACTTTCTTTTTCCTTTTTCAAGAACATAACCCAAGTAAGTTACCTTGGTTTTGCAGAGCTGGGCTTTCTTCGAGGACACTAGATATCCCAGACCTTGTAGGGCCTCCAGGAGTCCCTCGGTGGCTGTGAGACATTTTTTCTCGGTTGTGGTCGCCTCTAAGAGGTCGTCTACATACTGGAGAACAGTTGCATAGGGAAAAGCTTTCCTTACCTGTTGTAGATCTCTGCTGAGAGCCTCCCCGAACAGTGTGGGGGAGTTCTTAAAGCCTTGTGGCAATCGAGTCCATGTCAATTGTCCAGTAGTTCCAGTGTCCAGGTCTGTCCATTCAAATGCAAAGAGTGGCTGGCTCACCGGTGCCAGGGGCAGGCTGAAAAATGCATCTTTGAGATCAAGAACTGAATACCATACATGTGCAGGCGGAATGAGGCTCAGCAGTGTGTAGGGGTTCGGTACCATCGGGTGGATGGTCTCCCAACTGTTTACCTCCACCCGGCTGTTTACCTCCTGCAAGTCCTGTTCTGGAGAATTTTCTTCTTCTCCGATTAGTTTAAATTCTTCTTATTTCCCCATTTCATTTTTCTCCCCTTCTGTATAAAACCCTCTTCCGCCATCATCATTATATTTGCCCTTGCCATCTTTTTAGTTATTCTATCTTCGGGTGGATCCCTGTTTGTGAACACCTTCACTGCTACACTTATCAATTTTTCCCTATTCTCTCCTTCAAAGCCCTCAATTCTCTGTAATTTTTTCCGAATATCTGGGGCCGACTGAGTTACAAAAGCCAGATTGATTGCCTGCCTGTTCACTGGAGCGTCTGGGTCAATTGGAGTGTATGTGCGGTGCGCCTCCAGTAAATGTTCCAGGAAGGCAGAGGGGGATTCCTCAGGCCCTTGTAGGAACTCACTTACTTTGTTCAAATTGGTAGGCTTGCGAGCGGCTCCCCTAAGGCCGGCCAGGAGATGCTGACGGTAGTTGCGAAGAGCTTCCCTACCTCCAGTGGAATTCGATTCCCATTTGGGACGGGAGATGGGGAGTTGTGCTTCAACTCGGGCCTGTTGTTGTTGGTCATCAACAAGCCCCTCAGCTCCCCCAGCACTGACCGAATAGCGTGTCTTCTAATTCTTTCTCGGTCCTCGAATGTGAACAGAGCCTGTAAAAGTTGCTGACAATCATCCCAGGTGGGGTCATGGGTATTAAACATAGACTTGAGGAGGGAGATTAGGGCTTGCGGCTTCTCAGAGAATGGGGGATTCTGGTGCTTCCAGTTATATAAATCACTTGTAGAGAAAGGAATGTACACATAATGACCTTGTTCTATTTCTCTCAATGGGAGCACAGGGACCGGGTCCGGTCTCTCCTGGGGCGCCTCCGTGGGCCCATAAGCAGAGCCCTTCGGTATGGGAAGGAGAGGTGGTGGAATCCGGGATCTCCCCTTCTTTCCAGGGAGATGGGTAGATGGACTCAACTTCTGCCTCCCCAGGGGATGGTTCTGCATACGGAGGGGTCTTAACCCGGGGTCAGCAGGCTCTAACGGGTCCGGCTCCTGGGAGGACACCGGCCTGGGTGCCTGCCGCTTTGCGGACTTTACCCCATGTGGTACCATTACCAGAATACGAGAACTGGTGCGCAGGGAGCAGTGCTGCAGCCACGCCAGAGGTTCTTCACAGGCCTGGGCCCAGATGTTAATATAAGGGAATTGGTCGGGGTGGCCAGGGTGCTCAGTGACCTTTGCCCAGACTGCCCGACAAAGTCTTGGTTCGAAAGAACCTTCAGCTGGCCAGCCCACTCCGAAGGCGGGCCACTCCAAGTTGCAGAGGGTTCGGAGTTTCCCTCGAGAAAACTTCATTCCATATTTATCTTCCTGCTCAGGGAAAAAAGCCAATTTAAAGTTAGTGAGAAAACAGTCCAATGGGGTATTTTTGGAGCTCGATCCTCCCATCTTGTTCCTAGGAATGAATGCAAAATTAACACTCAACAGACAGGACACAGACAAGACACACAGGTGCCACACAAAAGAAAAGGCTTTGATTCTACCCAGAGTCCTCGTCAGGGCCGGGGTCAGGGGAGGCTTCCCGGCTCGTCAGCCACCTCTATCCTGACATCACATGGTTGCAGCCGATTCAAAACTTACCTCCGGAGGCTTTTCAGGTCTATGTCTGAGAGTCTCCTGCTGGATCCTGTGACAGAGAATCTCGGCCGGATTTACAGTTCCCACGTGGGGATCTCGCTGGGGCCTCCAAGATGTAAGAC